TAGGTGATGGTGTTAAAACCAGAAGTCGGAGTGGAGACGTGAATACATGTATGTACTCTTGCTTTATTTCTCAAATCGAGCCTAAGAATGTAGAAATGGCTCTAAATGAACCTAGCTGGGTGGATGAAATGCATGAGGAATTGCATCAATTTGAAAAAATAGATGTTTGGAAATTAGTTGAATTACCGAAGGGCAAGAAGTCTCTTAACACCCGATGGGTTTATCGCAACAACCAAGATGATTCGGGGGTCATTGTGCGAAACAAAGCTCGATTGGTAGTTCGTGGGTTTCGACAAGTCGAGGGTCTTGATTACACTGAAGTTTATGCTCCAGTAGCTCGCCTCGAGGCTATCCGTATCTTCCTAGCGTACGCCTCTTACATGAACTTTACCATTTATTAAATGGACGTCAAGACCGCCTTTTTGTATGGCAAGGTGAAGGAAGAAATCTATGTTGATCAACCACCTAGGTTTGTTGACTCGAAGTATCCTAATCATGTCTACAAATTGGACAAGGCATTGTATGGGTTACATCAAGCTCCTAGAACATGGTATGCGACACTAACAAAGCATTTGCTCGAACATGGTTACTCTCGTGGCACTATCGATCAAACTATGTTCATAAAGCACGTCGAAAAGGATCAGATACTCGTACAAATATATTTTGATGATATTATCTTTGGATCAACCAGTCTGTAACTTTGCAAGGAGTTCGAGGGTGTAATGAATAAACGATTCGAAATGAGTTCGTTGGCAGAAATGACCATGTTTTTGGGGCTTCAGGTTAAACAGAATTCAACCGGAATCCTGCTACATCAAGCCAAGTATGTGGAAGATATTCTTGAGAAGTTCGAGTTCCACGATGCTAAACCTGCGTCAACACCGATGGCTGAACGACCTCTTTTGACTCCAGATCCTGAAGGCAAATCCGTAGATCAAACTCATTATCGATCAATGATCAGATCGCTAATGTATCTTACTGCAAGTCGACCTGACATTATGTTTGCGGTTTGACAATGCGCACACTATCAGGCTAACCCTAAACTCTCTCATCTTATTGCTGTCAAAAGAATTTTTCGGTATATCAAAGGATGCCCTAAATTGGGTCTTTGGTATCCGAAGAATTCTAAATTTGATCTTTATGCTTTTACTGACAATAATTATGGAGGTTGTGAGCTTTACAGGAAATCTACCTTAGGAGGATGTCAATACCTAGGTGACAGGCTAGTTTCATGGCAATGCAAGAAGCAACACACTGTCTCGACTTCCATAGTAGAGGTGGAGTATGTTGCTGCATCAACTTGCTGCTCTCAAGTTATATGGATCCAACATCAGCTGTTGAACTACGGTTTGAATTATTTTGAAACCCCCATCTATTGTGATAATGAAGCGGCAATTCAAATTGCTAAAAACCCAGTCAAACACTCTAAAACCAAGCACATCGACATTAAAATTCACTTTATCAGAGACTGTTTTGAACGATCATTAATCCGGCTAGAGCAGGTCCACACTGATAATAATGTGGCGGACTTGTTCACAAAGCCATTTAACAAAGCTCACTTCGATGTGCTTGTCGGATTTCTAAAAATGATACGTTTTGAGGATTAAGTTTTTTTTAATTATTATTTATTCATTTTATTTTTTCTTTTCTCAAATTTGTTTTCAATTTTTTTTAATTTCGTTAAGAACTTTCTTCTATTCTTTATTTTATTTTATTTTATTTTCTTTTGGTTTCCTGTTTTTAGGCTAGATAATTTTTTTTGTTCTTTTACGTTAGATTAAATTTGCGCATCGTTTTTCATTTTACTTTTATTCTCATCCATGCACAAATTTAGGGGGAGAAATATAAAAATAAAAAAACAACAAAAAATCAAAAAACAACAAAATATCGAAAATCCAAAAACAATTTTGCTTGTGGGTATTATGATGGGAAATAAAATTAACAAGTGATAACGGGCAATCTAAATCGGTGTAACGTACCTAAGTTGAATCGCCTACGCTCTGTACTCGATGTGCTGGTAGGCACGAAAGATTTTAAATGGACTTGACTAGGAAAAGTTGAACCAAATGAATTTAAGGACTTGACAAAGTTTGACCTAGTTAGATCTGTTTAACCTGATGTCACGACGCTCGGATAGGTTGAGTAGGGAGATATACATGGGAATCTACCCGTCACATTAATTAAACCCGTACTTGGAACCGGGGCTTAACTTTTCCTCGATGTGCGTATTCTATCCTTAATTCCGGTTGGATGGGGCGACTGGTAAATTCCGATAAATTAGGTCTGTAGAAAATTGTTTTCTTTCTTCCTATCTGTTAGTCATATGCTATCTCCTTTGCGTGACCTCAAATCCGACCTGGTACACAACATATGCAACTCTATTTCTTTGCAGTCTATATATATGAAACTCCTTTTATCTGTTAGCCATATGGTATCTCCTTTGTGTGACTTCTAATCCGACCTGGTACACAGCATATGCAACCTTCTTCTTCTCAACCCCTCTGAAGAAATAAGTAATAGAATTCTGAATCTATTCTGTCTCTGAATGGTTGTCCGCTCACCCGATGTAAGGATCACTCTGGAAGTTCTTGATGGCTGGGGCATATCAGGAAGCGGGAAACACGTTCCAGTACACTTAAAATTGAAGTCATACAGATTGTCTGTAGATCTCGTTGCTCGATTTAGGTGGACAATAATATCCCTGGTTGTAGTCAGTTAAATGGTCATAAGGTAAATTTATTTAAGATTTAGGAGTTATCATAATGACAGAAATTTACAATTAGATATTTGCTTGAATCATGTCATTGGTAAAATGTCCAAAACTGTCACAAATTTTTCGTGTTTAAGTGGACCACAATCCTGGCAATCGATCAGACGAAGATGTGAAATAAGGGTACCGACAAGTGGAATAAGGTTGTCCAACAACTTTGATCCCAGCATCACAAAAGGAGTTATAATGGTTTAAGTTTTGTTTTGACAAATTATTTTAATTTGAATTTTATTTTTGCTTTTAAAATTTTAATTTAATTTAATTTAATTTTTAAATTTTATTATTTATTTATTTTTACTTTACTTTCATTTTTATTATTTTTACTGTCTTAGTTTTTTACTTCATTTTGATTTTTCAGCAAATTAAATTTTTGGTTTTTATTAGTTTGGTTTTATTTTTATTTTTAATTTTATTTTTCGAAATTATTTCTAAATAATCCTCAAAGTTTTTTTAATTTTTAATTGTGTTCGAAGTTGAAAAATATTGGGTAGTTATCAGGTAAGAGGGTAATTGATGGTAAAATGGTAAATAAGGAGTTCACTACCGGAATCTCCTCATTCACGCAATTCCGGCCGCAAACTCAATCCAAATCCTCTCAACCTTCAAAAAAAAAATTGTTTGATTTTTGGAAATCTACTTCAACCATCTCGTAGGTAATAACTTCTAGATCATAGATATGTATTCTATTACAATTTTCACCGTGTAACATGGTCGGAAATCACGAAAACAACTTCGACGGAGCTTACGGCCGTAAGCTTGTGTCGTAAACTCTGTTTTGGCCTTCAATCGTTGTTATTTTATTGCGATTAGTCCATTCCTTTGCATCTGTTGGGGTATTGTTTGTCAATTCGACGTAATGATGTGATTTTTGTGATATTTTCGAATAATAGTTAATAGGCCGTAAACTCCTCTTAGGCCGTGAACTGGGAGTTTACGGCCCGAGAACTGGGAGTTTACTGCCCTCGAAAATTGTTTTTAAATACATGTGTTATTTTCGTGAAATGTGTTTGTCGTGATTCTTAGGCCATAAACTTCGAGTTTACGGCCCAAGAACAAATGATGTTAAATTTTTTTATTAATTTGGTACCTATTTTTTTTTTTTTGGTAGTAAACTCATTTTTTTTAAATTATTTTTTTTAAGAAAAATTTGTTTTGATCATATTTTTTAACTAAAGTTTTTTTTTGGTCAAAATAAAATTTTATTTTTAAAAAATCATTTCTCTTACAGTTTGTGGTTGAGTGCAGACAATGGCAAATTTGAAGTTTGCAGACATGCACAATCTCGCCATCGTACTTTCAGATCCTCCGGCGATTCACTCAGACATGCACTCAATGATTCACCGATTGTGGGAATGCTGTTTAGCGTCTGCTATCACTGTCAACCCGGTTGTGTATCAGAACCTGATAAGAGAATTTTGGGCGACCGCCAGAACAAACATGGATGACGATGGTAACTTCACGGTGAAAGCTAGGGTCCAGGGATGTGAGATCGTGATCAATGAAGGTTTTATTCGAGAGGCTCTGCTTATTGATGATCAACCAAATTTCCCGACCCAAATTGGGATTGAAGATGCTCAACGAATTCTTCGAAGAATGAGCTATGAAGGAACATCTCCACCAACACTGAAAAAGTTATTGCATTCTGTATTGGAGGTTATTGGCGCACGTCTTTGTTAGCTGCATCTCGGGTAGAAGGTCGGGAGCGGATGAGATTTCTCAACGCACAACTAGTGCTTTTGTCTCTCTCACTGCTGGAGTGAGGTTCAATTTTTCCAAGTTCATCTTGGATGAGTTTGTCACTAACATTAGAGCCTCCATCCGGGACACCTTCCTCTTATATCCTCGTTTTATTCAGATGTTTATCAACATTCAGTTTCCAGATGTGAGAAAGGAAGGAGAAACTCTCGATATGAAGTCTTTGGGTCCTCACACCGTGGGACTCATTAAACAAAATCGCAGAGGCAAAGTTGTGTTTCAGGGGTAATATCCACTAGAAAAATTCGGAAAGTTCACAGAGCTAAATGAACCCACAGAGTCTTATGATTCTTTTGAGCGAACCTCTTCTGAACCAGCTTCTGCTGAAAGGTCAACTCCTAACATTCCGGTTATTGATGTTTCTGAGAATGAGAGTACTGAGGAAGAAGACACACCAACTCCTGACGCTCAAATAGTTTCAGAACATGAAAAGGAGTTAGGTCATATTCAAGATGATGCATAAATAAATGTTGAGATGGGAGGGAATATTGGGGAAGACAGAAATTACTCTTTCGATGATCTAGACCTCACAGGGTTTGATAATGACGATATTGTTGCTTCCTTAGCTAGCAGTGCAAATGTGGCGTCGCATGAGAACTTTGATACTATTTTCAACAATGTCGATGACGTTGTTCCTCTAACAACTGAGACTAGGAAGTCAAGTGAGACTTTTGAAACTGAAACTCCAACATCCGGGAAAATGGTGTCTGCTTCAATTCCTATGGAGACAGTTATAGGATGTTCCCCTTCTGTATCTGCTTCTCCTACTACTGAACTGTTTGTCAGTGTTTTTACTCCACAGTCTGACCAGCCCCCGTCGAAAAGGCAAAGAAGAGATTTGAGGCAGGGCAAAGTAATTGCAAGAATTGTCAGCAGCCTCCCAGTACCACCAGTTACTACTGCTACCACCAGACTCACAACAACAAAGATGTTTCCAACAAGTCCAAGCTCGTTGTTTAGTGTCGGTGATTCCTCTGCACCACCTGGTTTCTCAATTCCAAGATATAATCGTGATGATGCATCCGAAAGGTTGGCTTTTCACACGGCCGAAGAACAACTTCTAACGCCAGATCCTCGAGGAAAGGGTGTTTCTATTGAAGAAGGTGGTTCTAGGGGTGATAATCTAACCCTTTCTGGTTTGCAAAAGGAAATTTCGGTTCTAAGCCAGAAGAATATTAAGTTAGATATACAAGTGAAGGAACTTCGTGCTGAGAATGCTAAGCTTAATATTCAAGTCTCCAAGTTGCAATCTGATAAGTCTAGTCTTGGGGTACAAGTGGCTGAGCTTAAAAAGGATAAAAAGTTGAAGTCTAAGCAGATCTCTGACTTGAAAGATCACTTCAATCTGCTAACTTCAAGTTATTTTGAACTGAAAAAGAAACTTGAAGAAGACTTTGGAGATAAGTATCAAACATCTGTTGAAGAACAAAGGATCACTCTTCATGTGCAAGCTTTCCCAGTTGATGTGCCTGTCGGTCAATCATCTGGTACTGCTAGTCGTGGTGATGATGCACCTCCTCTGGCTCCACATATAGTAGAAACCATATGTCGTGATCAAGATGAAGAAGAAACGAAAGGGCAATTACTGTTCAAGAGGAACTCTAACCTAAATGCTTCTTGGTACGAACCATTAATCACAATGACCGATCTTGAAGTGGTTCGGTTCCGAGATTCTTTTGGAGATCGATCGGGAGTGGCTTCGTGGGGGTTCCATGATCCCCTTATGATGTGGATTGTGATACGAAAAAGTTGTAATTATGAGCTGTACAAAAATAGCCATGATTTTAGCTAATTCACGAGGATTGATTTGACAGAGCTGTCTCGAGCTCCCTTCATCAATCTAATGAACAATCCGCAAGTAACTCAATTCAAGCACTTCCTTGATGATCAAGTAAAAAAGGGATTTCCTTCTATGTCGACTGCAGAATCTGTGATTTTTGAACATCCAGCTGTTATTGATCACTCTACCGACAAACCATTGCAAGTGGTCATGTGACCCACGACAAAACAGGTTAAACAGCTTCCGGTGCTTCAAGTTTATTAGGATGGGTCTCTTGGTTCGTTGGAGTGCTAGGTATTTGATGAGATCACCTCTGGTGCAGTCCTAAAGCTCAAAAATGGATGCATCAGACTTTATGATCGAAGAGATTTGTTGCAGTTCCGAAAGTGGGATATTCATTATCTTAGCAACTTTCAAATCAAGGTTGTTGAAGATATCTATGAAGACCGTGCGAAAGTGTATATGACAATGGTTGCAGAAATTTTGAGCAAACGCATGTGGAACGGAGCTATGGGGTAAATGGATGTTATGATCGTAAACAAAGGATGACCTTGGGCTAGTCCAAACCAAAGGGGAGATTGAAGGGCTTAGAATAATGGTTCGGTCTACGTATTGCAGTAGGTGATACGGGTACGTTTCTAATTAGTTTTTTATCGGTTTATGGTTGTGACTGAGTTTACGGCCGTAAATACCTTACGTCCGTAAACTCCTCACAGTCCTGGGTGTCTATATATATATATAGGGTTGTGTCAGACGTATTGGTGGTTGATGCCTATAGTATTTGCGGTTCCTACTAAGTTATATCAGACGTTTAAGGTTATAAAACGTACGCAAGCTTGGCTTGTTACATCTTTGCTTATTATTTCGTTTTGTTTGATTGTTGTGTGCTTTTGATCACTGGTAAGATCCGATTTTGGACCTTACATCTCGTTAACCAAGAGGGGATTTTGATCGATCCGGCTAAGATTGAGGCGGTTCTGTAGTAGGAGGTTCCGAATTCTCCCTCGGATATCAGGAGCTTCTTAGGATTGGAAGGGTACTACCGGAGGTTCATATAGGATTTCTCCAAGATTGTGGTACCCATCACTCGTCTCACGAGGAAGGGGTGGATTTCCGGTGGGGCCCTGAGCAGCAGACTGCCTTTGAGACTCTACGACAACGACTATGCGAGGTGCCAGTTTTGACACTCCCTGAGGGTGTTGAGGATTTTGTGGTGTTTTGTGATGCATCGATCACCCGATTAGGAGCAATCCTTATGCAGAGATCACGTGTGATAGCCTGTGCATCGCGACAGTTGAAGCCGCACGAGACGAGATACCCCACTCATGATCTAGAGTTGGGATTAGTGGTATTCGCTCTCAAGATTTTGAGAAATTACCTCTATAGGGTATGTTGTACCATATACATGGACCACAAAAGTCTGAGGCACATCATGGATCAGTCGAACCTGAACATGAGACAACGCAGGTGGCTTGACGTAGTCAAGGACTATAACTGCAAGATCCTTTACCATCCTAGTAAAGCGAATGTGGTCGCGGACGCTCTGAGCCGCAAGACAGTTGGATTTTCTGCTCCAGCCACATGTATGAGGATATATGTGGATTCTACACACGTGAGCTTGATTAAGGAAGCTCAGGCTGAGGGTATGTGACAAGAGATTTGGAAGCTTGATAGGATCAGGGGAAAGAACATCCGATTTGTGCAGGATAGCCGGGGATTATTGACCTAATGCAGTCGGGTATGGGTTCCGATGTCTGGTGGGGTAAGACAGATGGTCATGGAGGAGGCTCATAAGTCTCACTTCTCTATTCATCTGGGGGCCACCAAGATGTACCAGGATTTGACTATGAGTTACCAGTGGCCAAGCATGAAGTGAGAAATCACTGCGTATGTCGAAAGGTGCTTGACCTGCAAAATGGTCAAGGTCGAGCATTAGATGCTGCATGACAAGCTGTAGCCCCTAGATATTCCCATGTGAAAATGGGAATAGATCATGATAGACTTCATAACCAAGTTGCCGAGGACGATGAAGGGATTTGATGCTATATGGGTCATCGTGGATCGATTGACCAAGAGTGACCATTTCCTGCCCATACGGGAGAGCTCGTCGTCCGAGAAGCTGGCCGACGTGCATGTCTGTGAGATTGTTTCTTGCCTTGGAGTTCCGGACTCTATTGTTTCCAACCGTGATGTTAGGTTCACCTCCCATTTTCTGGCAGAAGTTCCATGAGGAGCTGGGCACGTGGCTGCATTTTAGTACAACTTATCATCCGTAGGCCGACGGCTAGAGTGATCGGACCATTCATACCCTCGACGACATGTTGAGGGCCTGCATCATTGACTTTGGTGGGAGTTGGGTTTCCCACCTACCCCTTTCAGAGTTCTCCTAGAACAGCAACTATCATTCCAGCATTAGTGTTCCACCTTTCGATATGTTGTATCGGCAAAGATGTCATACCCCGGTCTGTTGGGGTGAGATTACCCACAGGGTGATGGGTCGGACCGAGGTAGTTATGCAGACAACCAAGAGGATTCAGCAGATTAGGCAGCAGTTGCAAACCGATTAAAGTCGGAGAAGATTTATGTCGACAGATGTCGAGCTGAGTTGGAGTTTTAAGTGGGTGACATGGTATTACTGAAGGTCTCACCCTGGAAGGGTGTGATCCGCTTCAGGAAGAGGGGAAAGTTGGGTCCGCTATACATTGGGCCATTCAGGGTTATTTCTAGGCTTGGCAAGCTAGCGTATGGACTGGATCTCCAGGAGGAGCTTAGTCATATCAACAACATTTTTCACGTTTCGCAATTGCCGAAGAGTATACTAGATGAGGAGGAAGTGGTGTAATTAGATGATATTCAGGTCGATGAGCACCTGAATTACGTGGAGAGGCCAATGGCCATTTTGGAGAGGAAAGTGAAGGTTCTACATAACAAGGAGGTGCCTTTGGTAAAGGTACAATGGGAGAATCAGAAGGGATCCGAGTATACGTGGGAGCCGGAGTCAGAGATGCGGGAGCATTACCCGGAGTTCTTCACCATGGAAAACTTCGAGGACGAAGTCTATTTCAAGTGGGGGAGAATTGTAACACCCCGACTCCCAGGTATAAATTTAAAGTTTTATATTTACGTTTTTAGACCTACTCGACGAGTTAGATGCCTCAACTCGTTGTGTAGAGAAGGTTAAAGTCGTGTGAACTTTAGGACCTACTCGAAGAGTTGGAGCTGGAATATGAAACCCTGCTTTCCAGGGTTTTTGCACCCTATCTAAAGGCTCATTAGCCTCCCTACCTCTCTTATCGTTCCCCTTGACCTCAAAAAACCCTAATCGTGTATTACTCCTCATTTTGTGTGTGTGAAAGCTTGGAAGGTGGTTTTAGTGAAAGAAACTTGAAGACTTAAGAGCTTAGATCAAGGAGAAGCTTGTAGATCCAGTGCCTACTTTGTCTTGGCTTCCATTTGAAAGTAACAAGTTACTACCTTGATCATTCTAGTGTTACATCTCCTCATTCAAGGGTTTTAGGCCATTTCTAGCATATTTATGGGTCATTTCTAGTATTGAGCATGATCTTAAATTGTAACTTCAGATCTGGACTCCTCTAACCCCTCATAATCATAAAGATATCAAATTTACCAAGAATTGGCCCTTCTCTTTGGCTTAAACCTCATCCTTAGCTTGGTTTTGGCGTTTAAGGCCTTTCATGCACGTAAAGTTTGCAACTTTACATGGTAACTATAAAACATCCCAAAAATATAGGCCAAAATTTTCGTTTTTGAATCATTTATAAAACCATGAATATCATCATCATATGAAAAGCATAAATAGTATATCTCAAAATATCATAACAGCTGTCAAAATACATTAGAGTATCAACATCCAAGGCTAAAAAAATGGTGTGTGCACTGCAATCTTCCTGAGCTCTTCTTTTGAAAACCGAGGTATGTGAAACCAAAACTAAAAACTGTAAGCACGAAGCATAGTGAGTCTCCCCATACTACAACATACCATACATTGGGCCTTGCCCGCTACATTGGGCCCCGCCCGACATCGAACCGAAATCCGGTATACATATAAACACATCAATAATGGAAATAACATAAACACATAACATAAGCATAACTTGGGCCTAGCCCACTGCATCAGGCCCCGCCCGACAGCCAACCGCATCGTGCTTTCCCCGGCATTGGATCGAAGTCCGGAATACATAAAACATACCATATAACATAAACACATATCATAAGTATATAAAAATTCCTCGGGTTTGCCCCAGCATCGGACCGAAGCCCGGAACACATAACACATAACATATAAGTTAAACATTCATCGGGCTTGCCCCAGCATTGGACCGAATCCTGGAACACATAACACATAACATATAAGCTAAACATTCATAGGGCTGGCCCCGACATCAGACCAAAGCCTTGAACACATAGCACATAACATATAAGCTAAACATTCATCGGGATGGCCCCGACATCAGATCGAAGCCCAAAACACATAACACATACCATTCAAGAATCATAAAGATATCAAGCATACATAAACGCTTCTCGGGACGGCCCCAACATCGGACCAAAGTACGGACAATATAAGTTGCATTGGACCTAAGCTCGTCATATACTAACATACATAAACAAACCGACATTGGTGCCTTCGACCCGTTCCTACTGGAGGAAAACTCACCTCACACTGTTGAAGTCCTGTTAACAAAACCCTAACTACTGGATGACAGATTCTTGAACTTGTCAACATCAAAATAACACCTAATTAATAATTGGGTTCCATCGCATATACGCATAAGTCCATGCTTGGGGTAAAAGTTTGCTTTACCCCTATATTAGCTTTATTCAAGCCCAAGGCCCAATCCAAATGCCTAGAAGTCAACTATGAGTCAAAGCCCAACATATGGCCTAATTTTCCAAATTGGGCCCAAACCTTTACATGTTCTTCCCTTAAGGCCCGACCAATTAGTCCAGTTCAAACACCTGGCATTCTAATGGCCCAATATCTCATAATCATAATGATGATATATGGTCCATTAGCATGGCCTAGACATCTCTGGCGCGCCAGTCCCACCTGGCGCTCCCTTAACAACCTTGTTGGGACTACCTTGCCAGCCTTGCTTGGGACTCTCCTGTTGGCCCGAACTGGGGACTCCCTTGCTAGCCTTGTTGGGGACTCTCC